GCGGCTGGCTAGCTGGCTGGTGGCAGGCTAGCTGGCGAGCTGGCTGGCAGCGGCTGGCTGGCTGGTGAGCTGGCTGGTGGCAGCGTGCTGATGGTGAGTGGGCTGCTGCTGCTGGTGGCGAGCTGGCTGGCGGCGAGCTGGCTGGCAGCAGCTGGCTGGCGATGAGTGGGCTGACGGCGAGCGCGAGCGCTGGCGAGCGGGCAGCAGCAGGCTAGCGGGCAGCAGCAGGCTGGCGGCTAGCTGGCTGGCGGCGAGCGCGAGCGCTGGCTGGCAGCGTGGCTGTGGCTGGTAGCGAGCTAGATGATGGCATCGCGCGGGCGGCAAGCAGGCTGGCAGCTGACGGCAGTGTGCTGGCGGGCGAGCTGACGGCAAGCAGGATGTTGGGTGGAGAATAGCCTTAGGTTCTTTTGCATAAACTAAGTCCTTGTGAACAGAGTGCTTGATCGCACAGCGAAAGTCTGAGTTGAACGCTTGTACTGGTATGTGAGAACAAGTGATTGATTATACGTGCTGCAATACCAGGACGGTTACAGTATGTGTCCTTGCTGTCGCACTGACTTCGACTCTTGTACTTCTGACTGCTGGGTTGCAAGGTCAACGCTATGTGACCCTTGCCCTTTCGCAACTTCCGTGAGATGTCGTCAACCTGCGTCAACCGTCAGAAGTACTATAGCAGGTTTGACTCGACAATCCTCGATGTTGCGGTTCTCGCGTATTTGATCAGCACACGAGACTCCTGACATGCTAAGTTGTTTCATTATTTCCAACACTCCCCTTCATTTCTAGAGGGTCGATGTGGCCGAGATTGCTAACGTGTTGAAGTCTAGTCAGCAGCTTGCAGTACTAGAACTTTGCCTTCGTCAGCTTCTTGGTCCGGTAGTTAGCTGCCATTTCGGAAGTGGGGCAGTAGGCTAGTTGGAGCCTGGTGGTGCAGCGAGGGTGAAGGGGCCGTCTCCATCTGGTAAAGCTGATGAGACACTCGGATAAGGTCGTTGGTAGCGATGGTGACATACATCTCTTTCGCCTCAGAGCTACGCCACCTGCCAAAACGTTTGAACAGGGGCTCCTGGATGCCGGTGTTTGCAGCCATCGTGGCCGCCACCTTTCAGAAGGAGTGAGTACCTAGGTGCTGATCACTTAGGCCGATCTTTGCGAGCACCCCCTTGCACGAGTTGGATACTGTCGTATACGAAAGAGCTTAGTTGTTCGGAGATGCCTTGGCGTGGCGACCGAATACACGGATCAATGAGCGTGGGTATCAAACATATGTGAATATGTTACAATAGGCTAGATAGGTGCGTACTCTTAGAGAGTACAACCCCGTAGCACAAAAGTACCGTGCATCTCACGTTCTAGTCAATTCGCTACTTTGATATGGTATCACGCTAGGTTAGGTTCTCCCCGCCCACACGCGCTTCCCCCCTAGCCCTAGACCTAGTCGCCCGTAGCTAGCCGCCCGTCGCTAGCCGCCCGTCTCTAGCCGCCTGTAGCTAGCCCCCAGTCTCTAGCTGCTCGTAGCCGCCCGTCGCCTACCGCCCGCTGGCCCCGCGATTGCCAGCCCCGCACCTGCTGGCCCCGTGCTCGCCAGCCCCGTGCCTGCTGGCCCCGCGCCCGCCTACTTCGCGCCTGCTGGCCCCGCATTTGCCAGCCCCGCGCTCGCCAGCCCAGCGCCCATCGGCCCCGCACTCGCCAGCCCCGCGCCCACTAGCCCCACTTTCGACAGCCCCGCGCCCGCTGGTCCCACGTTCGCCAGCCCCGCGTCCGCCAGCCCCGTGCCCATTGGCACCGCGCTCGCCAGCCACGCGCCCGCTGGCCCCGCACCTGTTGGCCCCGCACCCGCTCGCCTCGCGCCCGCTGGCCCCGCTTTCGCCAGCCCCACGCCCACTGGCCCCGCGTTCGACACCCACTCGCCGCTGGCCCCGTGCACTCTGTCCCCGCGCTCCTCAGCCCCTGCGCTCACCAGCCCTGCGCCTGCCGGCCTCTGCGCCTCCTGGCCCCGCACCTTCTAGCCCCACAACTACTGGCCCTGCGCCGGCCAGCCCTGTGCCTGCTGGCCCCGCGCCCGCCCGTCCCCGCTCGCTGGCCCCGCGCCTGCCTGACTGGCCTTGTAGCTCTTGTTCCAGTGACTGGACTAGTAGTGCCGTCCTGGGTTACCCTAGTTTGTACTCCAACTGCCTGGTCTTCGGACCCTTGCCTTAGAGGTTGGACTAGTAGTGCCACTCTGAGATGCGTGTCTCTTCCCCCGCATTGCCCCTCATCTAGCCTAGGGGGTGAGTCAAACATATGTGTATATGTTACAATAGGCTAGATAGGTGCGTACTCTTAGAGAGTACAACCCGTTAGCACAAAACTACCTTGTATCTCACATTCTAGTCACTTCGCTACTTTGATACTGGGCTGAGGGGCCCGTAGTTGGCCAGTTGCATAAAGCACTGGGTGCAGCGGACTGGACAATAAGGCCCAGGGTTTGCAGCCATGGGAACCCACACCCCGTGGCCTTCTTGGTCAGTCTTGGAGCGTGGGATCAGGATCCACATGACGTTGTCCTCGAATCGGATGTCCTCCTAGTTGATGGCGATGAGGTTCGAGTGGCGTAAGAATGCCGCATACATTAGCAAGGGAATGAGGTCCTTTTGGATTTCTGCAGGTTCGGTCGCTGACAAATAAGCCCTAGCCATGCTGTGGACCTGATGAAGAGAGACGGGTTCCTTGACCCGAGAGGGGCGGGGGCAGTGGCGTTGGGCATAGTCACGGACTTGGCGGGTGAACGGGCCTGCGGCGGGAAAGGAAGCGCCGATCATCTGATGTGCGAACGTAACTGCTGAGCATGTGAGCTGTACAGTGGACCACGTGGCTTGTTGTTGGATCTCATGCAGCAGGTGCAGTGCGAGGGTGGTGTCGGCAGCTGGCAAAAAGGCGAGGTTGAACCGTTCGCAAAATGCACGAAAAAAAGGGCGTCTCTATCCAAAAAAAAAAACTCTTGAAATGATACAAGCAGAGCATGAATGACGCCGGTAGGAAAACTGATACCACAGAAAGCAGATGTGTGAGAGCCTGCACTTAAGCACTCGCTACCGTGGGTGAGGCAAATGTGAGTGCGCACGAACTGTCCCCATTGGCCCGATCTGGGCTGCAGGAGGGACCACCACCAAGATGCGCCTCGCCATTCGGGGAGGATGAGTGTGACGACGGCTTGTGTGCGCATCACGAAGTAGAGGGTGGTTGGAAAAGGCAAACCGTGTTCTTGCGTCTAAGGAATGGTGAACGCGTCAACAATTGCGGCCGCCGGATGAGGCACTTTGGAGAAGAAACGAGACAGCTGCGTATTGTTGGCTTTCGCAAAGAGGTCGAGTGTATGTGGACCCAGGCGCCGCTCGAGGAGGCGAAACCATGGTTGCTTGAGGGATTAATCGTCATGATCTTGCATCTTCGAGAGTTCATCAGCGTGGGAGTTTGATTCCCGGGGAATCCATTCGACGGCAAGACGAGTTTCGTGCTACACGCAGAAGCGAATCAATGTTTGATATAAGCGGGTAAGCTCGGGGCAGCGCGATCCAACTTTCCGGGGAATGAAGAACACCCCTTGATTATCCACATGGACAAGGAGGTGCTGGCCGTGCAGATGGGACGCGAACGTTTATAGAGCCCACAGCACTCCTTCGAGCTCACGACGCGTGCTCGAGGTCCCACGCATCGAAGTGGGCATGCCGGTTGATGCCCCTATTATCGGGCCTAGAAGGGGCATAAGCATTGCCCCCCACCCATGAGAGCTGACATCCACGTGTAGGACTGCAGTATAGCAGTGACTTATGCGAAACAATGGCCCATTGAAATTGCCGAGCTCGGAGCGCCAGAATCGTAGCTCTTCCAAGGCGTCGGGGGAGAGCATCACCCGCCGATGCCAAGATGGGGCTTTGTTAGTGGTCGTGAGGAGCGCGTGGCTGAATGCCCGTGTTGTCGCCCTGAGAGCAAGGGATATCGAGGCAAGCATGCCCGTCGCTCGCGCCACCTAGCAAACTGGGACGCGTTGATGAGCCAGACCCGCTCCTTCAAGGGCGGACATAGTGGTTTCCAGTTGTATGCGTCGCTCTGCTCCAACGGAGAATGTGCAAGTGGCAATGTCTAACTCCAAGCCTAAAGCTGAGACTTCTTTTATTGATGACAAGACCCACGTGGCGCAGATCATCAACGACCAAGTGCGCCAGACTGGTAATCGCATCGGAAGAGAATGTCGTCCACGCAAGCTGCTTTATAAGTTGAGTAAAAACGAATGGGGTGGTCGCCAGGCCGAAAGGTAGAGATCGGAAATAGTAAGAGTTGCCCTCAAAGTGGAATTTGAGAAAACTCCAACATGTTGGATGGATGTCCACATGATGATATCCATATTTTAGACCCAGGGAGAACATCGAGTCACCGCGGCGCGCCAATTCCATGACGCGGTTGAGGCCTTCGTATTTGAACTTTGGGATCACCAGATGTTGGTTGACTCGGCGTAAATCCAAGATGAGTCGACACTTGTCTCGTTGTAGGACAACATTCAAAGGGCTGATGCATGACAAAGCCTCGGCCGAAGGCGGGTTCGAGGCAGCGCCTAACTTTATGAGATCTTGTACTGCTTCCCTTGGAAATTTGGTATATGTATAGGCCCCAGCATGGTTTGGCCCGTGAAATGGTTTGAGGGGAGCCTATAGCCTTTTGCGAGGACAGACAAGATCAAGCTGCTTGGACACCACAAAGCCCACCGTGGGAATGCGCGCTTGAGCCGACCGCGCATTATGGTGACTTCGGCGTCGGTAACTGCGTACTCCAAAGGGTCCTGATGGGGGTCTTCCCAAGAGCCTTGGATATCTACATTCGGCCACAAACCACGTGGGAAAATGGTATTAGCGAGCATGCTTTGGTTATCGGCTCTCTCTGCCCAAAAATGTCCAACCCGACGACCGTGTCCCGACCCGAAATATTCCTTTGACACTCACTTGCGGCCGTACATTATGGCGGGTTTAAACTCTCGCTCCCTTTCTCACACCATTGCTCTCTCGCTCTTGCTCTTTCTCACTCTCTCTCTCTCTCTCTCTCTCTCTCTCTCTCTCTCTCTCTCACTATCTCTCTCTCTCTCACACTCTCTCTCTCTTTCTCTCTCTCTCTCTCTCTCTCTCTCTCTCTCTCTCTCTCTCTCACTCTCTCTCTCTCTCTCTCTCTCTCTCTCTCTCTCTCTCTCTCTCTCTCTCTCTCTCTCTCTCCCTCTCTTTCTCTTGCTCTCACTCTCTCTCTCAATCCCTCTCTCTCTCCCTTTCTTTCTTGTTCTCTCTCTCTCTCTCTCTCTCTCTCTCTCTCTCTCTCTCTCTCTCTCTCTCTCTCTCTCTCTCCTCTCTCTCTCTCTCTTTCTCTCTCTCTCTCTCTCTCTCTCTCTCTCTCTCTCCCTCTCTCTCTCTCTCTCTCTCTCTCTCTCTCTCTCTCTCTCCCCCTCTCTCTCTCTCTCGCATGCGCTGTCTCTCCCTCTCTCTCTTTCTCTCTCGCCCTCTCTCTCTCTCTCTCTCTCTCTCTCTCTCTCTCTCTCTCTCTCTCTCTCTCTCTCTCTCTCTCTCTCTCTCTCTCTCTCTCTCTCTCTCTCTCTCTGCGTCTCTCTCTCACTCTTTATTGTTCCCTGTCTATCTCCTTAGGTCCCTTGCTCACTTCTCCCTGTTTTTTGTGAAGAATTAAGTCGCGTCGACATGTAAATTCACCTATGATGCTGCGTCGCCCACATCAGGATTGGATGGGCAAGGGTCAGGCGCTAGCAATGTGCCCAAGCTGCCCACAGTGGAAGCAGGTGCCTTTGAAGCCCCTACTGCTGCAGGCAGCTGGAATGGTAGCCTTGGTAGTGAACGGGGCACTCTTCCTCGTGTTACCACGAGCGCCGCGAGCTTAGGGTCCAAGCGCTCGTTTGGCCGCCGCCACGTCGGCCGCTGCTTGCTTGAATGGGCGAGAAGTCAGAATGGACTTGGCCTGGTATAGCTGGTAGTGGTTGGCAGTGTCGAATCCAGCGGCGTCGGCCACCTGCAGCACCTCGAAGCATTTCATGATGAGCGCGTGGCCTTCGCCAGCTTGATGGGCAAACTGAACTTGAGAATTTGAAAATGAAAACGTGGGTGAGGCCAATTGGCCGAACCTCCCCTTTATAATATAAAAGGGGCGAGTAGCAATTTGATGCTGCCTTCTTGTGCTGCGTACAAGCTGCTGCGCTTCTTGCTGCTGCAAGTAATTTTAGAAAGTGAAACACCTTTGAAAATATAGATGTTTAAAAGTCTACATCCTAACATGGGCATACTAGGACCTACATGCCATCATGGTCTACAGGGGCATCGTCCTCCTTCTCTTTCCCCTTCCTGCTCTTTTGGCTCTGCTCTGTGGGGCGGTGCTGTAGGGCTTTCTCTTCTTGTATGCTCTCCAGATGTCAATGACGGCATCCAAGTCTGGTTCGTAGTCTAGCATGCTCATACACATCAAATCTCCAAGGGATGAGTCCTTCATGCTACCCCGCAGCCAGCTCTTAATCACATTATGGCGGGAAAACCCGCGTTCACATTCCACTGTGCTCAGGGGAAGAACTGCCATAGCGCACCACAGCTTGACGAGATTGGGGAAGCTATCCTCCCAGTCTGGAGACTTCAGCATGGTCGTCAAGCCGATGTAGAAGGGCGGCAAGGACAGGGCAGAAATGGGGGATCTCCAGCATCGCCGCTTGCTTGTTGACGCCTGCCAGTAGAAGAAGGGTGGGAGGGGGAACGAGAGGAGTATTAGAAAAAAAGGGTAAAGCGAAACCACATCAATACAACGTGCAAGCCTCGGGGTGAAGGACAGGTGAGATACCTGGAAGAATCTCTTCAGCTTCCCCTGTATGGTAGAGGTCGACCATCATCCCGAAGCACTCCAGACATTAGGCCTTCCGCGGAGCACGTTCCCACCCCTTTGGCCACTGGTCCGCACAGAACAGCATTGAACCACCCAGCTGCTTCAAATCCCCTAGCCGCTCGTCTAGGTTGTGCACCATGCCTTCGGCCATTGGCATGCACGCCATCCAATGGCTCCGCATGCTGGTCGAAGCTGAATTGACTCGGGCGCCCATCGGAGTCAACGCCCTCAACGGTGACACTGCGCATACCGCTAGGACCGTAACGAGTGAGGAAGGTTGTGAGCAGGTCTTTCGCCCCCCCCCCCCCCCCCCCCCCCCCCCCCCCCCCCCCCCCCGGTTGAAGTCGTCGCTGCAATCGACGTAGCGGCTTTCGAGCAGGGACAGCACGGGGGAAACCGATGCATGGATCGTCGACATGTCCAGCTCTAGGAATAAGACAACAATGGTGTGTCAGTAGCGGTTTTGGAACACCATAAAACGAAACTTACCTCACGGGCCTAGAAAGTCTTGTTGAGAATGTTCATTTGCTCAAGAACATCAGCAAGAAACATGAGAGAAACCAGAACCTGTAGCTCGTGACAATCTTGAAAAGACGGTCGTTGGCAAACTCGGATAGCATGACGACGATGGCTGGAAAGACCTTTACCAGCTGTCGGATGGCCTCACCAAGTGAGAGTCATCTGACTTGGTGTATACCCTGCAGCTCCAATCACGTCAAGAGGAAGACATCTTGAGGGTCGAGGAAGTGCTGGTGCCATGCTCTGGAGTGACCGAGGAACTCGACCAGCTCCTTGATGACATCAACGATGATCTTGAAGAATGGCAGGTCCTTCGCCGCCGCTTTAGCTACCAGCGCCTCTCTGCACACGGCAGAGAACATGGGAAGAAACCGGACAAACCAGCAGGAGTGAAAGTTAGTATTATCCCTAATCAGCATCAATTTTAACACATGATACACAATTATGCAAAAATTGATACTTACCGGTGAGCGATGCAGCGACACGAGACCAGATGAGGGATACGCATCCGGAGACGAGTCACCAGGTCGGATTTCGAGCCCATTGTCACCGCCGCCCTGTCTGTGCTGATGCCTGAGATGCGGCGAAGATCGACCCCAATTGCCTACAGGTGGGAGAGCAGCAGAGCGAGCAGTGAAGAGGCATCCGCCTTGTCGACGCTTAGGAGCGCCAGGTACTCGGTGACGACGCAGCGGTCCTGGATGAAAGTGCAGAAGAGTATTACTATATGTGCTTTCCTCTGCAACGGTCCGTGCCCCAACGGTCTGGAGAGTCTCAGACAAGGCAGTGACAAAGGCAGTCAGGGTGAGGTCACAAGGGTGCTGGCTAAGGAAGTGGTCGCGGGCAGTGGCTAAGCGGTCAGGCAGGCGTATGGCAATGAGGTACAGGGTAGCGCAGAAGGGTGGGGGGAAGGCTTTGAGCTGGGGGGCAGTGCTAGCAGCGCGGTAGCTAGTCTCTAGTGCACGGAGGTGAGTGGCGAGGTCACTGACAATGGGAAAAGCGGCAAAATCTGGGAACAGCATGGGGAAAATCAAGCGGCTAGTAGAGGTGGAGGCGGGCGTGGAGTGGCGGGCAACTACTGCATCTAGGATATTCTTGGCATTCGCGATAGCAGTGAAGCGCGGATGCTCAGACAGGGGAAGAGCATGACTAATAGCGAGCTGCACTACATCATCGCGGGAATCCCAAACAGCACGAGCGAGCGCAGCAGCAGAAAAGGCCTCATGCTCAGCAGTGGTGGGATCAGTAGGGAGGGGATCAGACACGGGTGGGCGGGGAAGCAAGCCATCAACTTGCATAGCCAGGGAGTGCCCATCCTGGCGCTGAACTTTCAGGTGCTGGCGAAGATCGACAAGCCAGGCGGCGAAGTCGATCGCGTGTCCCTCGGCGTCCAGGCGGAGCACGGTGTTTACCATTGCGAAGCCTCAGCGTCACAGCTCCACGGCTGCACAGCGATATGGTGGCACAGCAGTACAGCGACACGGTGGTACAGCGGCACAGGTACTCAGCGGCATGGTGGTACAGCGGCGTAGTGTTAGGACTCTCTGGTGGGAAGACCGGGTGGGAAGGCTGAGCAGAGCGCACAGGGCCCGAGGCGCGCAGCAGGCTGACAAGGCGCGATGAGCCAGCAGGGCGCAAAGGGCCGGCGGAGCGGTGGGGCCAGGTGAGGCACGAGGGCCAGCGAGGCGCTAAGGGCTGGCTAGGCGCTAAGGGCCGGCGAGGCGCGAAGGGTCGGCGAGGCATGAAGGGCCGACGAGGCGTGAAGGGCCGGCGGGCACGGGAGGGGCCGGCGAGGTACGCGAGGAGCTGGTGGGCACGGGAGGGCCCGACGAGGCGCGCGAGGGGGCGGGCGGACTTAACCTACTATGATACCATAATAGAATAGCAGAATGACTAGAAACAAGTGAGAACAAGGGAGATATAGGGCTGGAGCTGTACCCCCTAAGAACACAAACCTATGTAGCCTATAATTTCTACATACAAACATATGTATAAGTTGACTGGATGATGGTTGAATAATCAGCCCATGCAAAGCCAAAAAAAAAAAAAAAAAAAAGGCATGATATATGGGCATATAGAGTATTTTAACCGGTAGACGTGAACCACGTGTTTAGGGTGGCCAGGATCTAGAGTTGGTGGAACCACGAGTAAAAGTCAGCGGAAGACTTGACACCTTGTTTTGCAAATGTCCGAAATGACAAGGATAATAATTATGAGTAATACAGACATATTTATAGTCTAGGAAGTACCTATTCGGATGTATCTGTTCATAGTGTATCGCGACTATTCGCGTGACATGACCAGTGATTTTTCGTGTGACTGAGAGTGGCGTGACCCTTTGGATGACTATACGCGCGAACTTACTATTCACTCGTTGACTCGCTACTTCTAACGTCACCACTCCCGTCCTTCCATATGAGGTATCGCGCTACTAGTATAGTCTAAGTTTGATATCAGGAATGCATAAGTAGTAACTCTGTCGAGTATATATCAACACTCCCCTTCATTCCTGAGTGGATGTCTCTGGCTACAGTGACGGAAATAAGTGGGCTTATTAATCCACTGCAGTACATAGACTTTGTGATTTTGGCATGATATGTTGTTATAACCCAACCATAACATATTGCAAACTGTGCCCCTTGACGTCAGCTACTCAATGCACTTGGGTGTTGTAACTTTTATCGATTTTATTGTAAAGAGTACAATAATAAGCGTTCGTTACTCGATGCGGACACTTTAGGCCCACTTCGCGTCCAGATCTATTTCCTGCCTGCATTACGCGACCTCGCAACCTACGCTGCCATTTTTCTCTCGATAGTCCAGCGGCAACTACGCCAAGCCCCCAGCGACGATGCGACGGCTTCTTTCGAGCCAGAAAGATAGGATCGCGACACTTATTAGACAGGGCCAGAGTATTCGACAAATCGCTAAAGCATTAGGAATAGGAAAAAGCACGGTACAGAAATATGCTCACGAAGCCTCCCAGCGCTCGAGCAGCCTAGCGGTAAGGCCTAATGTTGCTAGGAACGGCCGACCGTGCATACTCTCGGTTCGTGATAGGCGCTCTCTGGTCCGAGCCGTCACTTCAGGCCGAGCGAATACTAGCATAGAAGCCGCGAAACTTCTAGAATCGGAGCGCGGCATCAAGATATGCCCTAGAACCATGCGCAATGCCGTGAAGAACTCCGGTTTAGTAGCCGTGCAGAAACCGAAGAAGCCGCGACTTTCTGCCCGAAATATCAGAGACCGACTCGATTTCGCCAGGGCGCATCTTGACTGGACCATTGAAGAGTGGAAGCGGGTTATCTGGTCCGACGAGACCAAGATAAACCGCTTTTCCAGTGATGGCTACAAGTACGCGTGGATACACGACGGGGCAGCCCTGCAACGTCACCACATTCAGCAAACCGTCAAGCATGGGGGCGGGTCATTGATGGTATGGGGATGCATGACTTATGATGGCCCGGGCTATATGTGTAAGATTGATGGCCGCATGGATGGGGAGCTGTACAGAAGCATTTTACATGATGAGCTCAATCTATCGATTTCTATAGTCTAACCCCCTCGGATGTAATTTTCCAGCATGACAACGACCCCAAGCACAAGAGCCACCGTGTGCAAGCATGGCTGGCTGAGCAGCCGTATGCAGTCCTCA